TTCCAATCTTGTTGCTAAAAGTATTTTTATTTAAATACAAAGAATGAAATGAATTTGGCAGTACCCTTCTTATCGAACTTTATCAAAATTCAGATCTTACTTAATTAATATAGATTAGTATTTTTCTTGATGTAATTACAAGGATTTCCAATTCTCTGCTTCCCTAATTTCGTTGAACATAGCTGTTGTATATGCATTCTTAAATCCATCTATCAATTCCTTAGCTTTTTTCATATTGCTAAGTACAACTTTGCTATCTTTTTTGTACAATTACGGATTAGGCGAGATATACTGTCTAAAGATACTAGTGTTCTTTGATGTAATTACAAGAATTTCCACTGCTTCTCTATTTTCTGTTTCCCTAATTTCGTTGATCGTCCATCTATCAATTTCTTAGCCTTTTTCATATTGTCAAGTACAATTTTGTTATTTTTTGTACAATTCCTGATTAGATAAGATTACCCATCTAACGAAAAAATGTACTATTGAGACTAAACGTAATGAACCAATTAAAATAATGATGATAAAGATGATTGCAAAGTAAACTTATTTAATGTTAGAAATTTTATCTTAACAATTTTAAATTTGCAAAATATTAAATGTTTCTTTGTTGATTAATAATTACGACTCTGGAGAAGGTAAGATGGCCATGCCTTTTATTTAGTGAATATAAGATTTTGAAGTTACGCTGTCTCAAATTGGAAGGAATTCATTCTGGGATATTTCTTTTCACGAGAAATGCGAGGATGAGTTCTATTTCCAGTGGAAACTGAGCTGGTCTGCGAGTTATATCTCAGTGAAGTCAGCCGTTACGTGAGAGATGAATAGGAATCTTTCGCTAACTATTTTTTAAATTTAATCCAGAATTCAAATCACAAGACCGGCCACGACTTCGAATCCGCCATTTCCAAGATCTTGAACGGGTAACTTCATATAAAGTTAAATGATATGGGAATTTTAAGGTTTTGATTTTAAAAATGAGAATGAATGGTTTACCGCTAATGAAGGAACTGAGTGGTTCAATGTAAAAGAGATGTTATTTTTTTTGGGCGAAATTTTTAAAATTACTGTAATTATGTAATTATTTGATTTTTTGTAAATAAATGTGATTGTGCATAAAAGTTTTTTACTATTTCAGTTTGTATAAACTTAAAATTGGTAATCATTAGTATGCATGTGATTTGGTGTTTGTAGACGATCTCTTTTACTCTTTTGCTTCTAATTGAGAGACCTTTAAGTTATTAAATTGAAAGTAAAGTGTGTAAGTTTTTATTATTATGGTGAAGCATAGCGTTTATTAAACATGGCGAAGGCCTTTAATAATGTTACACTTATTAGATAACTATCTTTCTTCTTATATTTCTAACAACAGATTTTTTTAAAATTTTGATTATTAAAAATTTGGTACAAGAGATTGTTAAAAAAAGTTTTTTTCGATTTTAATAATAATTTTTTTTTTTTTTTTTTTTTTTTTTTTTTTTTTTTAAAT